GGCCCGATCGGGGCCGGGGCCCTGGCAGGTGGGGCGCGCTCCAAGGTAGCTCCGAGCGTGGACTTTGACCACAGCTGTTCAGACAGTGTCGAGTACCTGACGCTCAACTTCGGGCCCTTCGAGACAGTGCATCGCTGGCGGCGCCTCCCGCCCTGCGACGAGTTCGTGGGTGCCCGGTACGGCGGGGTTCGGGGGATCCCGAGGGGACGTGAAGGGCGGGGGAGTGATCTGAGGAGGTTCCAGGGTGGGGGACAAGTTGTGAGGCCCCGGCTAGTGGCCTAGTGTGGGAACTGCTCATAGGCGGGTGGTGTCCAGGCAGAGGAGGCGATTCCATGGAGTCCCAAGGCCCGGCGACCCTGGGCAGGGTCCTAGAGCTGCGGTGTTTCTGAGCCTTCAGCTGGGGTCCCGTGAACTGCGGTGGGTAGTGTCAGGCATACGGACGTACGGGAGGTGCGGTGGAATTTAGGGGATCTTGACAACTGAGAGATGTTGTGCAACTTCTGCGGCAGCCCCCGTGTGTGTACCATTCCTTGGGTGCCAACAAGTTGGGCCCTGACTTCACCGCCTTCTACTCCTTTCTTTCTAGGCGAAGCAAGCACACAGTAGTGGCCTACAAAGACGCCATCTATGTATTTGGAGGCGACAACGGGTGAGTGAATCAAGGTGTTTGGACCAGGTAGGGAGAAGTACTGTGGTCTGATCTGGGACTGTGAAACTTATCTTTCCAGATGTTAGCTAAGCACCCTAAGTCTCAGTTGCCCCATCTGTGAGGCCGCCTATACTAACCTCCCAGGACTTAGGAGAGATTAAATGAGATTCTGTCCTCAAAGTAACTCAGTGCAGCATTCACTGGATCGCATATACTCAGCATATGGAAATATCCCTCTTGTTTTGAGTGAGTTGATATTACCTTGAAAGAAGCATATCGACTTTTACTGCCTGCCCTACTAAGCACTTTTCTTTCCCTACGTTACCCTCTGGGCCTTGTCCACATTCTTCCTTTGCAGCCCAAAGATATGGAGGACGCAGTTTTCTTTATTTTGTGCACTTCTCACTTTTTGTGAGGGTTTTCCTGCATTGCTACAAACTCCTAGCAAATAGCCTTCCTGTCATGACTGTTTTCTGTGGGTAGGCATACCTCCATTCACAAGAACTATCGCCAGAGAAGTCGATTTCCCCGTGCTGAGTGTTTGCACATGACCGAAGCTGCCTACAAATCTTAGCCCTACCTCTCGGCCCAAAGCCCTAGAACCTGCTTTAAAGCCCATGAAAAGTATGTTCACACCAGTCCTGTGGGGCTCTCTAGAGGAGCCAACTTAGGGGTGGTGGGGCATTGAAAACACGACCAGGACCCACAGACTAGGCAATAGGGCCTTCTTGGCCATCATCCCCTGGCATCTAGCCTGTCTCCTCCATTAAGCTCCTTGCCCAGAAGCAGCGAGAGGGATCCATTTACAAATGCAAGTCAGAACATGTTCTTCCTCATCTCTTAAGCTTTGATATATCCCCACCTCTCTCAGTAAAATCCCAAGTCCTCATAATAGTCCACGAGGCCTATATACTTGTTCTTTCTTCATATCTCTGTTCCTCCCGGCCTCTCACTGGCTGGGCACACTGGCTGCTTTGCTGCATTTGGATTGTTCCAAGTGCCCTCCTGCTCAGCTCTTTGCGCTGATTGTTTTCTCCTCCCCACACTTCCTACCTCTCTTGCACTGCACACGGTAAGGCCTTCCCCAACCCACCCTCCTTACTTCTTAACCCTGCACTGTCTCGGAAGCTTAGAGGTGGGCTGTGATAGTCTCCTCTGCCAAGGCCGGGTGTGTGTTCTTTTTGCTCCTGCATCCAACACCTCAATAAAAGTTGAGGGGTAAAGAAGAGATGTCTGCCCACAGATGTTTACTGAAGCCTTCACAAGAATCTCCCAAACCAGAAAAGGCATTGGTGACCACACAGGACAGTGGGTGATAGATAGGGGACCTCAGTCCTCAGATGTATTTGGTAACAGGTAGTTTGTATGACAGAAATGGTTTTGCTAAAGTGTATCAAAAGATTTATGTGCTGGGGAAGCCTCCGTATTACAGATTAGAATGAGAGCTCTCTGGACAAGAGCAACAGTGGGAAGCTGGGTGTGCTAGTGCATGCCTGTCATCCCTCCTGGTACTTAGGCTGAGGCAGGAGGACTGCCACAAGTCCAAGGTCAGTCTGGCCCACACGGCAAGACCCTGTCACAAAACAAAGCAGAACAAAACAAAACAACAACAAAAAATACAAAAAACAAAAAAAGTGTGACTTGGAAGGTGGGAAGGAGAACCATTTAAAAAAAAAAAGGCCAGGGATTTAGCTCAGTGGTTCTGCTGCCTGCCTCACCAGCACAAGGTCCCAAGTTAGATCCTGGTACAAAAGAAAAAAAAAAAAAAAAGCTGATTGGTTAACATTAGGCAACTTTAGGTTACTTTTCCCAAAGGATTAAAACAGAGGGGATTTCCTTACTAACGCAGACTCAGGTAGACTGAACTCCCCTATTTGCAGGAAGAACTGTTTTGGGATTTGCTTCCTTAGACTTTCAGTGTATGAGACATTTGGCTTGAATGACTTCACTTTGATTTGGTCTGAGCTTTTGGGGCCTAGAGCAGAAGCTCACTCGAAACAGTGGCCTCCCATATTTTTGTTTAACAAGTGAGACATAGTATACAAATTGTTCTCAGTCTAGTTGCAATTTTGTAAAGACTGAATACAAATATGGCTTCCTGGGACAGGTGAGTTGGGAGTCATGAATGAGGAAGGGGGAGGATTAGTCAGAACAGCAGCTTCCCAGCTCCTGTCTTGAGGGCTATGTGATCTCAGACACCGCCTTTGACTTCCTAGGCCAGTTCCTTCTCTGTAAAATGGAGTGGGCAGGGAGCACCTTGCTGATGTTTACTGAGAAGGGGGCAGGCACCAGGCACAGGCATGGCCTGACACAGATGCTGGCCTCCAGGTGGTTTGTGCTGTTCCTTCACAGGAGCAAGGGCTAGGTGGTAACGTGCCAGTCCTGCAAGGTAGTACAGTGGCTAGTGGACTTGTTTCCCACTTTATTCTATCTTTAATGCAGTTGGTACATCGCTTTTGCAATCAATAAAGGGAGAACAGGAAGATCAGTGAGAAGCAGCGGGGTCATCCCCGACATAGATATGGGCTGGAACCTAATTGTGGTGGAGCAGCCTCAGAGGAGGAGGATGAGATGCAGAAGTGGGGATTCTAGAGGCTGGGTGACTTGTGAGTGATAAGTCCGGCCTTTGAACCATGTCACGTCTTCATGTCAGCCTTTGAATGGGCTCCTGGGGGCAGTGATTGTGCTTTGCTCCTGACCCCAATGAGGTTGACCTTGCCTGTATGGCAGCCCCAGTGCCCATATCAATTGGGGAGCTTCTTTGGTGGTCACCACTCCTGTCCCTTTAGTCATCAGCAAGTTGCCTGGCTCTAGCCAGGTACCAGGCAGCAGGGAGCCAGCCCAAAGCAGTCCTTCCTGCTGCCCCCTCCCCGGGATGCGCGCAGCGCCCATCTCCAGGGTCCTGGAGTGGCAACACACTGCAGAGCACACCCAGTCACTGCCAACCTCTCGCTGGCTGTCTTTCAGGAAGACGATGCTCAACGACCTTCTGCGATTTGACGTGAAGGATTGCTCCTGGTGCAGGTGGGCAGCCCCTGTGCTCTAGGACCCTGTCCTTTCTCCGGGGACACAGCATCTCTGTGATGGGTCTAGGTGGCCCACAGAGTCGCCTCATCATGAAGAAGCATCAGGGAGGAGATAATCGGAGCCCCTGGGTCTGTGTGCTTTCTTCCGTCTCCTTGGGGTCTGTTCCAGCGGCATCTGTGGTTGATTATTCCGAATCCTGCTAATTAGGGGGATCTGGGTGGTTCAGTTGTAGGTTGCCAGATTCTGCCCGGGAGAGCTCTTCAATCACCAGTCCTCCTCCTGGGCCAGAGGCTGCTATGGATCTGACACAGGGCAAGGGTGGACATTAGTAATGAGTTCTCTCAGAATTGACTCTGCTGCCCAGGGGCTGGTAGCAGCCCTCTTCTCCTCATGGGACCCATCCAGGAGAACCCCACAGGCAGTGGGTCGCAGGTAAACTCCATGATCTCACACAGCAGGCCACCGCCGAGGGAGCAGTGGAGATCCAGGGATCAGGAGATTCTGGGCTTCCTGAGCTCCACCCTCCGCTCACATAGGAACACAGACACAGAGCCCCTTGTGGTACCCCACACTGCGGTCTGTGGCCCATCCCCTTGGTCCCCAGAAGGAGTGGGATCTTACTGTTCCTCTTGAACAGAGGAGGGTGTCAGGGCTCAGGAGATCACGTTACTTCCCAGGACCCTCAGCCAGGAAGGGCAGTTCCACATGATGTCATCCGCCATCTTTCCAGGAGCCCTGGTGGCACTGGGATGGCCGTAGAAGTGGGTATGTCATTTGTCACACACTTGATTTTATAATGCAGCTAACTGTTCCCTATGTTAATTTGTGTATGTGTGTGGGTGTGTGTGTGTAGTTCTGGGGATTGAACACAGTGCCTTGTGTGTGCTAGGCAAGTACTGGACATCTAAGGTTAATTTTAAAAGTCATTTTAAAAACTACAGTTCTTAGTCAAAATTTGCTAAAGTGGCTTGGGGTGGTGACATATGCATGTTTTTTGTTTTTGTTTGTTTTTTTTTTTCCTTTTCTTTTCTTCTTTTTGAGACAGTGACTCACTATGTACTTGAGACTGACCTGGAACTCTCTATGTAGCCCAGGCTGGTCTCAAACTCACAGTGATCCTCCTGCCTCAGCCTCCCGAGTGCTGGGATTAAAGGCGTGTGCCACCACGCCCGGCGTCACGTGCATGTAATCCCAGCATTCTAGGAGGCTGACACAGGGGGAAATTCCAGCCCAGCCTCTGCAGATTACCCAGATTGTCTCAAAATAAAAATACATAGGGAGGGGTTTGGGATTTAGCTCAGTGGTGCCACCACTTGCCTGGCAAGCACAAGGACCTGAGTTACATCCCTGGTACAAAACAAACAAGCAAACAATCAGACACAGGGAGGGGAGAGGGTTTGAGGAGGGGATGAGATAAAATAAAATAAAATTTATTTTTAAAATAACAAAACGAGGGGCTGGGGATTTAGCTCAGTGGTGCAGTCACCTGCCTCACGAGCACAAGGTCCTGAGTTCAATCCCAGGTACCAAAAGAAAAAAAAAAAAAAGTAAAAATAACAAAAGGGTTGGGAATATAGCTCAGTGCAAAAGCTGTGGATTCAACCCCCAGTACTCACCTCAACCCAAAAAAAAGAAAGCTAAAGTAGCCTGCTGGGGGGGGCACTCACCTGTAAGCTCAGTTACTGGGAAGGCTGAGGCAGGAGGAACACAAGTGTAAGGCCAGCCAGAACCACTCAGTGAGACCCTTTCTCCAAATGAAATGTTTTATTTATTTATTTATTTTTTTTTTTTGCAGCACTGGGGATTGAACTCATGACCTTGTGCTTGTGAGGCAGGCACAGTGGCACTGAGCTAAATCCCCAGCCCTTCCAAATGGAATGTTATAAAAGAGCTGAGGGATGTAGCTTAGGGGTAGTGCTTTCTTAGCATGTACCATGGCGTGGGTTCAATCTCCAGTACTGAAAAAAAAGTTTTTTACTCAAGCATTAAACTTGGTCTGGGTATAGAGGTGCATATCTCTAATCCCAGCAGTTCGAAGGCTTCGAGGAAGAATGAGCTTGAGGCCAGCCTGGGCTACATTTCAAAACCCTGTTTTAAGAAAACAAAACAAAACAACAATAACAACAAGCCCTGGAGATGAGCAGCCCTGCAGTAAGAGGTGTAAATGGGTGTTTAGTAAGGAAAATTTAGACACCCCGTGCTGCAGAGTACTGCCCAGCTGCTGAGAATGATCCTACGTAGAGATCTTAGAGTGGTCTGAGGACCTCCTAGTGACATCGTTTGGTGAAAAACCTTCAAAACCTTCCTCTTCTTTTCTTCTTCTTCCTCCTGCTCTTCTCTCCCCCCGCCTCTTCATCCTGTTGTGTAGTCTAGGCTGGCCTTGAGCTCATTATGTAGCCCAGGCCAGCCTCAAACTCACGGCGATCCTCCTGCCTCAGTCTCCTGAGTGCTGGGATTACAGGTGTGCTTCACCACACCTCGCTATTTTGATTCCATTTTAAAAGATTTTCCAGCAGCATAGCTATGCCTAAGGGGTGTGGAGGGAGGACGTCCAGGTGTTCACAGTGGTTTTCTGGCATCAAAATTAAAAATTTTGGTGCTTCTTGTTTTGTTTTTTCCTTATTGGTAATATTTTTAAAGTTTCTATAACAAGAGAGGTCACCTTTGAAATAATAAAAAGAAGCTGGACACCATGGTGTGCACCTGAAATCCCTGAGGTCAGCAGGCCAAGGAGGTGGGATCACTTGAACCCACAAGTTCAAGGCCAGGCTGGGCAGCATAACAAGATCCTGTCTCAAAAAATAACAATATGAGCTTGGTGCGGTGGCAAACACCTATAATCCCAGACACTGGGGAAGCTGAGGGGAGGATCACAAATTCAAGCCCATCCTGGGAAACTTATCAAGACCCTATCTCAGAATAAGATAAAAAGGGCTGGGGACATAGCCCAGTGGTAGAATACTTGCCTAGCAAGGGTTTAGTACTGCAAAAAGGAGAGGAGGGAGGCATGAGGATGTGGGCATGTAGACTTTCTAGCTGACTTCTGCTGACATTATCCCTATGCTTATGCCAGGGCCTTTACCACCGGCACCCCACCAGCCCCCCGCTACCACCACTCGGCTGTCGTCTATGGGAGCAGCATGTTTGTGTTTGGTAAGCAGCCTCCTACCTCTCTCCCCTCTTGGGACCATGGGTGCCTTGACTTCCCACAGCCTCCTCCCAACATGGGTCTTCTCACGTCTTGTGCTTGTCAGGGGCTCTGTCCAGCCCCTCACTGTGTGCACTGGGCTGCCGTGAGTTCCTGGACTGAGAGGAACCCCTTTGCCCTACCTCCCCGAGCTCACGGGGTTGGGGCGTCTGAGCTGGTGCCTCAGGGGTTTGCAGATGGAGCCCTGGTTGGTTGTTGAAATGGGGCCAGATGGTGCCTCGGCTCCCAGGGTGCCGTGGGGGTGACACTTTCCTCTCTCCTCCCCCAGGGGGCTACACCGGCGACATTTATTCCAATTCTAACCTGAAGAATAAAAATGACCTGTTCGAATACAAGTTTGCAACTGGCCAGTGGACGGAGTGGAGGATTGAAGGACGGTGAGGGCCTTCGCCGAGGCCTGTGGGGCCGAGGGGTCTGGGTGGCCGCGGGCCTGAGGCTGGGAGAGGCCTGCAGCACCGCGCGAGTGCGGAGCTAGGAGTGGACCCTGACTCCCAGATGCTCCCAGCTCCAGATTCCCTTCTCTCGGAAGAGACCTGGACGTGCTGCTTCGTGAGGACCTTCGTGGATAGTTTGGTGGCAGCTGGGAGGGGATGCTGTGCTTGTGTGGACATCAGAATGGCTTTTTCTTGAGGGGGTAGGGATTGAACCCAGGGCCTTCCACATGCTAGGCAAACTCCACCATTGCCAACTTTACGTCTAAGTTTCCTTTTTTTTTTTCTTTCTGTTTTCTGGGGACTGGGATTGAGCCCACAGTTTGGACACTGAGCTACATCTCCAGCCATTTTATGTATGTGTGTGTGTGTGTTTATTTATTTTATTTTATTTTTTCCCCATTAAGTTTATTGGTGCCTATAAAGCAAGCAATACAGTCACATTTATCATTGGGATCTTGTACCTTTACACAATGCATCTTGGTTCTCATTTTTTCCCCAGACCCCTGCCCTCCTTTCACCCCCTTCACCTTCCCTATTTACAAAGACTTGGTTTCCATTTTTTCCTTTTTTCACACTTTTTCTTTTCCCTCATGTCCCCTCCCCTCCCCTCCACACTTCCCCTTTAGTCATCTTCTCCCTGTTTCACACTCTCAATTATACCAGTTGAACCTTATTTACACTTTCAGTTTTTCACACCAGAGAAACTGTTCGGTAGTTTATTTTATTTTAAGACAGGATCTTTCTAAGTTACTAAGTTGCCCAAGCTGCAGACTAACTTGCTGTCCTCCTGCCTCAGCCTCCCAGAGTGCTGGGATTATAGCCTGCACCACCATGCCTGCATCTGCATTTTTTATCCAGCTACCATCCAGAGCTCACAAACTCTGCCTCTGCCATGTGAGTTAGGGGTCTCCGCCTCTGGTACCACCACTTGTTCCTGGTACGCCAGCAGTGGCCCTTAGAGCCCCCGTGTAAGGCAGAAGTGGCCCGAGTAACCCGGTTGTGGAGTCCATCTCACCATGTGAGGCTCTGAGCTCCCACCTGACCTGGGTAACCTCTCTCCTCACTCACTTCTTCCTTTGTACTCTAGCTTACCAGTTGCCAGGTCAGCCCATGGGGCCACAGTGTACAGTGACAAGCTATGGATCTTCGCTGGCTATGATGGCAATGCCAGGTAGGTGGTGGCCCAGCCTCTGGATGTACTTGGGTACAGAGCAAGCTTTCCTGGCCCTTGAGGGCTCAGCCTGCAAAAGGCTGGCCTGGTGGATTCGGTGCATTGCTGAATCTGAGCACATGGAGGTGAATCCTCTGAGTGGATCCCCCAGCTAATCCTGTAGCCTCATGAAGTACTTGGAACCACAGGGAAGAGGAATGCTGCAGGGCCCAGGAAGTGGGCAGGGAACAGTGTGTCGGGGCTCAGACCCAGCCCTTGCTTTCCTCCTGTGTCAAAGATGTTTTTTCCTTATTTTAGAAAATTCATCTCCCTGTATTTTTCTGGTTACAAAAGTAGCATGTGGTTATTACAATTTTAGCATTACCGAAACTCCTAGTAATGCAGTGGTAACGGTTTCTATACTATCCATGGCCCCTTCCCATCTTGGGGGACAGCTCTGTAACGAGCTGGCCCTGCCCCTTGGCCTCAGATATTGTGCACGAGCCTACTCTTTCCTATGTGGGCTGGATAGGGGACTAGTACAGCTGGCATTTGGTGCACTGAGACCTCGTGGCTGCACAACGGTCTCCTCACTCACATGGCGGACTGTTCTTCCCTGCAGACACCTGCCTTGGCCAGGTGCAGGCCAGGTCCACCCAGAACACCCTGACCCCTCTGTCCTAATGCAGGTTGAATGACATGTGGACAATTGGCCTCCAGGACCGGGAGCTCACATGCTGGGAGGAGGTGAGAGGCACAGGAGACTGGGTGCTAGGGGAGGGGCACCGAGAGGCAGGGCAGGGTGGTGGCGGAGTCTTTCTTCCCCCTCATCGGAGCGTGTCCTCACTCTCCTCTCTGACCTGCCCGGCCCACAGCCAGTTCTCGCCGAGGTTGTACAATGACTAAAGATTCCAAGCCCTGGGGCTGTAGATGCAGCTCAGTGGTAGAGTGCTTGCTCAAGCGCAAAGCCCTGGGCTCCACCCTAGCGCTGCGTGCCCTGGGCGCACAGACTGAGCCCTGGGTGTTCGCAGTGCCGCATGGGACTAATATGCTTTCCGTCAAATCTACCATTATTTAGACATACCAAGGGCCGCCTGCTGTTCGGTGTCCTGCTTCTGGAGTTTCCTACTCTTGTAGAAATTAGGCCCTGATTATTGATTGATTGGATTGATTGGTTGTGACAGGGTCTCATAGGCTGGCCTTCAATGAACTGTGTAGCCCAGGCTGGCCTCAAACTCACAGCAGTCCTGCCTCAGCCTCCCAAGTGCGTCACTACACCTGGAAGTCCTTGATGATTTAACTCTCGTGATTTTGATCCCAGCTGGTCAAAAGTGAGCCCACATAAGTGGATGAGATAGGGCTATAAACTGTTTGGCCAAAAAAATTAACGCTATGTACCCTTGTTCACAAAAGAAATTTCAAAAATAAAAATTCCACCTCTGAGTGTATAGAAATATGAATCCATCTGGGCATGGTAGTACATGCCTGTAATCCCAGCACTCTGGGAGGCTGAGGCAGGAGGGTCACCAATGGGAGCCCAACATGGGAAACCCAGCATCTTAGTGAGACCCTGTCTCAAAAAATAAAAAAAGGGCTCGGCATGTAGCTCAGTGTGAATCCCCTGGATTTACTCCCCGGAAACACACACAGAGGTCCTGTGAGAGCCCTGTGCTGAGCTGCTCTTACCCCTATCCCAGGTGGCCCAGAGTGGTGAGATCCCACCGTCTTGCTGCAACTTCCCTGTGGCTGTGTGCCGGGACAAGATGTTTGTGTTCTCAGGGCAGAGTGGAGCCAAGATAACCAACAACCTCTTCCAGTTTGAGTTTAAGGACAAGATGTGAGTACCCTGGCCAGGGAGGGGCACAGTGAAGGCCTGTGCATGCACACAGTAGCCATGACAGCCCATCTTTCTAAGCTCCTACACAGAGCAAGAACATTCAATCTAGAGCAGGCCCCTCAGGGTTTGGCTGCAGCTCAGCAAAGATGGCCCTGGCCAGGGTCCCTAGTTGGCCCTCTTTCTGAGGGCACAGGACATGCACTGCTTATGGTGAGTGTCACCCCTAGCGAATATGGCCGGTACAGATCTCTTGATGGCAGAAGATGACAGAGGCACACAGGCCCTCTCCAATCATGGCTGCTGGCTGCCTTTAACTCCTGTGCTCGGACTGGCCTCTGACCCTGGAGTGAATGCAGAAGAGGGACAAGGGCTTTGGAGGGGGTTCACGCATCCCTACAGTAGGTCGGGGATGCATGGGAGGAGGACCAAGCATCCGGGACAGCGGGAGCCTTGTTGGGTGATGAACAGATAGCATAGCAAGGTTCTGTTTCTGTCCTTCAACTAACTTAGCACAAGAGGGGCTTTCTTGGAAGGCGCTGGGAAGCCCTTGGAGGGTGGAAGGTGAAAGGTGCTGTAGGAGCAACTGGCGCCCAGGCAGTTCCCAGCTGGGCTCTCAGCTGCCTGGGTGGCATAATTGCAGCAACCTGCAGTCACCGCGTGTCTGCACAACTGCATTTCCCCAGAGGAAGTGGACTGCCCAGAGGCCAGAGGCTACCCTTCCCACGCTGTCACCGGTGTCTGGGTGAACAGTAGGGCTCGGGCTGCCCCCTGGTGGACTGCATGGAGCCAGGCATGGCTAGTGCCACAGCTCAACTTGGCAAGGGACACTGGGCGTACGTACTCGGGCGTTCCCTTTGGTCCCTCACCTGGTTACCGGAGGGTCACAGGGGCACTTCACAGGGTTACCTGTTGTGTGGAGACCACAGTGCTCGCCCTGGCTCTAGTTCACTGTCATGTGTCCCCAGGTGGACACGCATCCCCACCGAGCACTTGCTCCGGGGCTCCCCGCCACCCCCCCAGAGGCGCTACGGTCACACCATGGTGGCCTTCGATCGCCACCTCTATGTGTTCGGGGGTGCAGCTGACAACACATTGCCTAATGAGCTGCATTGCTATGATGTGGACTTCCAGACCTGGGAGGTTGTCCAGCCCAGCTCCGACAGTGAGGTGAGTGTTGTCAGGTGTGAGGTGGGAATCCCAGGGGCTCTTACTTCACCAGCTACACGCCAATGGCTCCCTCTCTGGGCCTTCCAGGGCTCCCAACAGCCAAGAGGAGCAAGGCCAGGATGCACAGGCTCTCGGCCCTGGATGCCCGGGCCCCTGGCCCTCTAGCTCCTTCTTCCTACAGCCTGCAGGTTTGCAGTGATCTGTGTCCCATTCTATCCACTGTGCTGTTGTCCTGCAACCCCCCTGGGCAGCCCTCTGAGGTCTCTGGCCACGGTCCCCCTTTGCAGCCTTAGTTCTGTAGCTCTTCCCTCCTCCTCAACCCACAACACTGGCAGGGATGAAGGCCTCTCGGTCTGCCCAGCCCTGTTAACTTGTCACACTCCTGCATGTCTTCCCCACCAGGTCGGTGGGGCTGAGGTGCCCGAGCGAGCTTCCACTTCTGAGGAGGCACCCAGTCTGACCTCTGAGGAGCGGGCTGGCTTTAAGAAGTCCCGAGATGTATTCGGCCTGGACTTCGGTAGCACCTCAGCCAAGCAGCCCACTCAGCCGGCCTCAGAGGTAAGGGGCAGGGACCCTCCTTAAGGCTTCCTTACCCGGAAGCACCCCATAGCCACCCCCTGAAGGAAAGCCCATGATCAGCCCCTTTCACAGATGGGGAGAAATGAGGCCCTGAAAATGCTTGCTCATGGTCACCTAGCAAAAGAGGCACAGGCCCCAGAGACCGCACCCTGTTGCACTCACTCATGTGGCCCTGGCTCCACCTGTGACTGTAGCTGCACCCAAAAGACCTCTCCCCTCAGGGACTGGGCTCTGTGGTCCCTCCATGGCCATGTCCTTATCCTGGCCATGAGCAGCTTCACTGTGGGAGACCTTGCCCTACCCAGTCTCCCCCGCCCACTTGTCTCCCTCCCCAGCTGCCCAGCGGGAGGCTGTTCCACGCGGCCGCTGTCATCTCCGATGCCATGTACATCTTCGGGGGCACCGTGGACAACAACATCCGGAGTGGGGAGATGTACAGGTTCCAGGTGTGTGGTGGTGAGCTTGTCGAAGAGTGCCTGTTGGTGAGCCTGGGACGGAAGCTTCCTGGGGAGTGTGGTGGTGGGTGGGAGACAAGGTTGAGGGCGGGCTGAGTCGACACTTAGGAGTCGGGCACCCTCAGTGCAGCGTGGGGAGCCGTGGGGGGCTCACAGCAGAGTTGGGGGAGAGAGTGAGCCAAAGCGGATGTGACAGTGGCTTCCCTCGGCAGCTCCTTTCCAGGCCTGGAGGAGCACGGGGTCAGTCACAGCCCGTGGGGACAGTGGGTCAGGGTCAACTCCTTGGAAGAGGTGGGGATCCCTGGTAGGACCAGTCGGAGTACCTGGCTCCAGGTGTAGAATGAAGACGTCGCGGCTCCACCAAAGCGCAAGGGTTCAGCCGAAGGCAAGCAGAGCAGTGGGAGTCCCCAGCTGGTGTGAGCTGGGCACGGGTACAGCCGTCAAGGCCCCGAGCAGGCAGCGCTTGCAGGGAGGGAGGTGGCCGGGGCTGGCCTGCGTGGGACACGGGTTTCCCTCCACAGTTCTCCTGTTACCCCAAGTGCACACTGCATGAGGACTACGGGCGGCTGTGGGAGAGCCGCCAGTTCTGTGATGTAGAGTTCGTGCTGGGTGAGGTGAGGGCCTTCCTCACGCCCAGCCCATCCCTACTGCTACCTGGCCTCCATCCCCTCGGGCGAGGGGCTAGTGCCCTTTACCTACACGTTGTTCTTTGTGCAGAAGGAGGAGTGTGTACAGGGCCACGTGGCCATTGTCACTGCGCGGAGCCGCTGGCTCTGCAGGAAGATCGTGCAGGCACGGGACCGGCTGGCCCAGGTGAGGTCCCCCGACTGGGCAGCTGTGTCCATTGTCCCTGGGGTGCCCTTGAGCTCTCTTCTTCTCCCCATAGAAGCTGGAGGAGGAGGCGGCCCCAGCTCCCAGGGAAGCCTCTGGTGCTGCTGTGAGTGGGACGAGGCCTCCCCTGCTGCGTGTGGCCATTCGGGAGGCTGAGGCCAGGCCCTTTGAGGTGCTCATGCAGTTCCTCTACACCGACAAGATTAAATACCCTCGGAAAGGTGCGGGCACACGGGGACAGGGCCGGGGGTGGGCAGCAGGGCCAAGACGTGGATGCCGCTAGGCCTGCCTTACAGATGGGCCTCCTGAGGCTTAGAGGTCCTTGATCCCCTGTGATCACAGCCACCATATGGTCCAGAACCATACGCATCTATAGAGTGGTCCTGGGCCCCACTCCAGGCCCTTGTCTCCTGGATCCCTGAGACTCAGGGCTCTTGGGTGCAGGCCATGTGGAGGACGTGCTGCTCATCATGGATGTGTACAAGTTGGCGCTGAGCTTCCAGCTGTGCCGCCTGGAGCAGCTGTGTCGGCAGTACATCGAGGCCTCTGTGGACCTGCAGAACGTGCTGGTTGTGTGCGAGAGTGCCGCCAGGCTGCAGCTGGGCCAGCTCAAGGTGCGGGCCAGCGTTGACGCTGCAGCTGGGAGCACCTGACATCTTGGGACTTGGGGGGCCGTGCTCAAGCCGGGTGCCCACTCTGCTCCCCTGCAAGCCTCTCGTCCATCCCCGACTGTGGCCTGACCCTGCTTGCCTGCCCGGGCCTGTCTGTCCCAGGAACACTGCCTGAACTTCGTGGTGAAGGAGTCCCACTTCAACCAGGTGATCATGATGAAGGAGTTCGAGCGCCTCTCCTCCCCACTGATCGTGGAGATTGTGAGGCGGAAGCAGCAGCCCCCTCCTCGTACCCACTCTGACCAGCCTGTGGACATTGGTAGGAAACCCTGTTCCTCTGAGCCGAGAGTGGGAGGGACGGTGTTCAACGTGGGAGCCACAGAGGATTAGCCAGGCCCTTGGGGGCAGGGGTTGCCCTGTGCTCCTGGGCCCAGGGACAGGGATGGATAGAGACAGGAAGACTTCCTCAGGGACCCCTAACCCACAGAACTTTCCACAGCAGGCGGTGAGGTGCTTGGATCCCCTGAGCCCATTTCTGAGGATGGACATGGGCACATCTTTCTGGATGGGCATCAGATCTGATGTTTTGGGATCAATGATAAGCTGCTGAATTTCTCTCAGGGACAGTGAGGATGTCCTGTCTTCTGTTGCCTTCTTGTCCTGTTTGGAAAGGACACCACAGGCTCTTTCATTCACCCACCTCTCCTTGGGGCCTGTGATGACCCCATTTTGTGACATCTGGAGACACCACAGGCCACACAGTGGGTCCACAGGGAACCCCAGCGTGAGGGCTAGAAGGAGGGCAGTGGGTAGAATAGTAGACATTGGGGGCAGCAGTCCTGAGGGCCATGTAGGGACTGGTGCTCCAGGTGGCCTGGGGCGCTGAAGGGAGAAACAGGACAGGTGGCACCACTGTCCCAGGGAACCCTTGCATGGCAATGATGTGGGCAGATGTGCAGAGAGGGCAGTGCCTTTGGGGTCTCAAGGCCACGAAGCAGCCCCTTTGCTCAGGGTCTGCTGGGGAAGGTGGGAGGCACTTGCTTAGGCTCCCTCCACACCCCCAGGCACATCTCTGATCCAGGACATGAAGGCATACCTGGAAGGTGCAGGTTCAGAATTCTGTGACATCACACTGCTGCTGGATGGGCACCCAAGGCCAGCCCACAAGGCTATCCTGGCCGCCCGCTCTAGGTGGGTTGAAGGCCTGTGTGGGAGGGCAGGGCTCAAATGGTGGCTTCCTTCTGCTCAGAAGTAGCCGTCTGCCACTCTTGTCTGCAGCTACTTTGAAGCCATGTTCCGGTCCTTCATGCCTGAGGATGGGCAGGTGAACATCTCCATCGGGGAGATGGTGCCCAGCAGGCAGGCTTTCCAGTCTATGCTGCGCTACATCTACTATGGCGAGGTCAACATGCCCCCTGAGGACTCCCTGTATCCTCACACCTTGAGGGTGGCCAATCTGGCCCCAGACTCTGCCGCTCAACTAGGGACAGGAGGGGACCATCCTCCGTGGTGAATGAAGGCCGCAGGGCCAGCATCACTTCGGGTTCACCACTGAGGGATCACAGTCTGCCCCTCAAGATGGTTGTGGTGCCTGGCTGCCCTATTTTGGTCTGGTAATCTTGGCCCAGCATCTTATTCTGAAGAACTTCCCAGTGCCCGGGACTGTCTGGTGTTCTCCAAAGGCTCTAAAGCGTGTGGGCAGCTGGCAGGGATCTGTCAGCAGCCAGAAGGGATGGGTGGTTCCTGACCCTCACAGCTACGGAATGGGGTCAGTCATTGCTCTAGTGACAGGAGAGCCGACGGATGTGGCCTTACTCCTCATGGTTCACTTCAGCAGGGTTCGATGGTGAGGCGCCACGGAGAAGTTCTGCCGATGTGCTATGGGAACGAGGGGGTTTGTGATTTTCTTTGGCTTTGGAATGGAGCTTTTCAGCCTCTGTGTGGTTCAGAAAGTAGAGACCGACCCGGTGTCTTGGCATGGCTCCCTGCAACACGCTCCCAGGGGCGGGCGGGGAAGGGGCAGACAGAAGGGCAGTCGGGCTTCCTTTGGCCATAGGCTCCTTGACGACCCCCAGCTACCTATTTGCAGCCCCCTACTACTACGGCTTCTATAACAACAGGCTGCAGGCGTACTGCAAGCAGAATCTGGAGATGAACGTGACTGTGCAGAACGTACTGCAGGTAGTGCCGGTGGCGCTGGCGGTCAGCCTTCCGCGGAGGGTGGGCAGGGTGCCTCAAAGTCCCGGCCATTGCAGATCCTGGAAGCGGCGGACAAGACGCAGGCACTGGACATGAAGCGGCACTGCCTGCACATCATTGTGCACCAGTTTACCAAGGTCAGGCCGCCAGCCCCAGTGCTTAGGGCCCCAGCTCGGCCTGTCGGGAACTGTGGGAGGATGGGAGCCAGGGGTCCTGGGCTGGGCCAAGCTAAGCCTCTCATCCGCTGGTCCCTGCTAACCTTCATCCTCAGAGCCAGCCCGAGTCCCATTCCAGAGGACTAAGCCGACACCCTAGCTCTTATGTGGATCTGTTTCATTGTGCAGGTCTCCAAGCTGCCCACGCTCCGGTTGCTGAGCCAGCAGCTGCTGCTGGACATCATAGACTCCTTGGCCTCCCACATATCCGACAAGCAGTGTGCAGAGCTGGGCGCTGACATCTAGGGCCTCCTCAGATCCCACCAGCATGGAGCACGATGCTGTCTGTCTCCGTGGCCCACTGCAAAGACTGCCCTGTCCACACCCCTGCCTACAGGGGTCACACCTGTGGGACCCAAAGGCCAGCATTACTCAGAGCCTCTGAAGGGAGCTGGGGATGGGTGGGTGCGGGGACCAAACACCTCATTTCATTGAGGACACAGGTTCCACGGGGGTGGAGAGTAAAGCCACCTCTCTCCTCTTCCTGCTCAGGAAGCCACGGCTTAGTGGTTAAGACATCAGAGGAGACGCACCCTGACCGTTATTCCGAAGTGCGGAGTGTGGTGCAGGAGGGTCAGCCTGGATCCCGGGGACTGGGTGTGTTGGGGGGAAGGGGCGTGGCGGTCCACCTAGGCTACACCCCACGCCCACCCTGTCACCAGTCTGTTCTGAGCCCCTACTCCCAGCAGGAGCTTATGAACGGGGACCAGTGACGTACATCTGGTCTGCCCTGAAGATGAATTCTGGAGCAATGAGCCTGACGGCCACCGCCAGCACACAGGGCAGTCAACCTGGGCTGTGCCTATTTTGGCTGTGCCTGGCTTCCAGAGGGGCTGCATGCTCCCAGCCCACCCACATGCGTATCCGGGCCAGAGAGAGGTCAGGAGAAAGGCCCAAGTATTCACTGTCGTAGATATGCCTCCATTAAAGCCACAGCAATGCTACCTACATATGCCTCACTGGCAGTCTCCACATCCGGCCTCTGCCTGCCTGCCTGCAGTGGAGGGCCAGCTGTGTACCCCAGTGGTTTGGCAGACCCTGAATATGGGCCAGCCAATCCCATCCACGCATCCATGATCCCTGCCACCACTGGCCACCCAGTAACAAGGGGGAGGGGATATGGGAAACATCCAGGCTGGACCCTCATCTCCTGAGAGTCCTGGAGTAGTATCTGCCCCGCCCCACTCCTGGGCATGTTAGGTCCCGAGAAAGGGTTTGCTCTCCTGCCGACGCTGGAAATGAGGACAGGCCCAAGGCTCCTCCCATCACGCTTGGTAGGCCCTGTGTGAATCTATATTGATACCACAGACAAGTTCTACCTTTCGGGAACAAGAATGTTTGCCAAGAAGTCAGAGCTCACCTTAGGGACATTACTGGCTCTTTTCCTGGCCTTAGGTTTTTCCTTCCTGCAAATATGACTCTGCCATGACTGCAGTGTGGGCCCCAAGGTAGCTGCACACAAGTGGCTGGGTGCTATGGGTGACAGGCTTTAGCCAGAGGTAGCAGATCCATAAGGCAGGCCAGCCAGCCAGCTAGCCAGCAGCCTGGTGCATGAGCTGGAAAGCGAGGCAGATGTGGGACAGGAACTGCACTGAGGGACAGCCCCTGTGAGGAAGCAGGCGGCCAGGGTTAAGGAAAGGACCCATGGCGTGGAGATGTACCACTATAGGGTGAGCAGCCGGGGTGATTTTCACCCACCCAGCTTTCCCGGAAAGCAACCTCACCCAAACACCCGCTCCTGGAGGGACCAGCTTGGAAGCCTCAGGAACAATCTGCAAACCCTGCTCTCTGCTGACTCATAAGTAGCTTCTCTAATGTCTCTTTTGGATATGATATGTGTAAATCATTACACCCCAAGGGCCTAAAAACCAAGTCTGAGAATAGGTCTAAGTTCTGGGACTAGGAGATCAGGAAGTGCTCCTTCGGCTGTGTGGCCAGGGACAAGCAGGGGGTGTCTGGACCCAGCTATTTACTTTGGTCACACCCACTGTGAAGCCTTCTAGGCTTTATGTAGGTTCCCGTAAGAAAACCCTGAGGCCAGGCCTTTCATTCCTGTCTCAGGATTTACCCACCTGTTCCCATTCTTCCAGGAACTAAAAGTTTTCTCTGTGACATTACCACCTGCTGAGCACGACATTCCCAGAAAGGTGATGACTGTCATTACTGTTACTTTTTCTGACAGGTCAAATTCTGAGTGGTATAGGGGGCTGGCCTGCCAGGAAGACGGAACCCGTGCCTCTGCATAAAAATAGTCTGGAATGGATTTTGAGTGGCCTCAAAAGGGACTTCCTGCTTCAGTTAAGGCTGTTGTAGGACCCAGGGATGGGGTCCCTAGCACTGTCTCCTGGGTCCTACCATTCTATCCCATCAGAACCCTGTGGGAACCAGAGCTACACAGAGAAGGGGTGGCTGTCCTCTGTGCAGCACTGAGATGGCTAAGAACTAGGCACTTGGCTCTTCACAGTCAAGTTTGCAGACTGCAGGGTCTCACCTTTCCAGGGGCTACAGCCACTGTTGGGGGAGTGGGCTGGCATTCTTCGCTGAGCCAGACAACAGGGTGTCCTTCTAGAATCAACTTTATTAGCATCTAGTGGTGTGCTGGATGCAGTTCAGAAAAGGTCCCTCACCAGGTGATCGTGAGGAAGAGGTCACGGACTTGATGGGCGGTTCCTCCCTCAGGCCATGCTGCTGCTCAACTGCATGGCAAAGTCTTGTACATGCTCCTTTAGAGTCTGTCGGGCATCGGCCTGTGCCCGCTTCTCTCGGGCCCGTTCCTGCTGCAGCTTGGTCAGCCGCAGCCGCAGCCGCTGCTCTCGCCGTTTGCACGCTTGTAGCTGGCGCTGGGCCTTGTCCAGGGCATCGAGGGCCGCTTCAGCCCTCCGCTTCCAGAGCAGGGCACTACCCACCTGGTAGCTGTGTTCATTCTGGATGTAGGCTCCAGCGGGTGGTGGCAGGCGCAACATGTAGGCTGAGGGAGAGACAGGCCGTGGCTCCAGAGGGGAGGGCTGCCGCTCGGGCGAGGGCTGGGTACTACAACCTGCTTCATCTGCTTGGGCACCTAGGGAGCCCAGCAGGTCTGAGAAGGGGCTGCTGAGGCTAGGCTCCAGCCTCCCAGCTGGGGAGGCAGACAAAGTGGCAGGTGCTGAGGCCTCTTCCACAGGAAAGCAGGTGACATCAGCAGGAGGAGGTGGAGAAAATGGAGTCGTGGGCCCTCGGCCTTCGGAGCAACTGGAGGGAAGAGGTAAAGAGACTGACAAGCCAGACTTAAAAGAGCTAGACCCATTTCATGAGTCCGGATGATTTTGTCAACACCTGAGCTAGGGCCCTAGCATAGGGTCTGTACAGCAAGAACCCCATCCAGCCAGGCTGCTGGCAGACACCCTAAATCCCAGCGCCTCAGCCCTGGAACGGGAACAGGAGCGGGGCACGCCTCCACCCACAACACATACCGCTTCCTGCATCGCCGGAGCCGGCTGACGTCACGGGGCCCAGGCGGGTAACTGTGCCCCTTGGTCTTGGCTGTCCGGCGCAACTTGGAGAAAGACTCAAATATGGTAGGCACTGCCCCTTCCTTCAGCCTGTGATACCCACTGTGGGGAAAAGCAGCCTGGATGAGACGAAGAACAATTGTTGCCACCCTGGGCCAATCTGCCCCTGGCAACCCAGCACGGGTTCCCCAGTACTAGGGCTGTGGGAAGCTGGAAGGCAAAACTGCAAACAGTAAGTTTGGAGAATGCCACGTGAGTCCACTAAGCTTCTCCCTGAAGGTCTCCTCAAAGCTGTGGAGCGTAGAAAAGCTCCCCCAGCAGGGATGGGCTGACAAGGCAAAAGAACAAGCTCGCTGGGACGCCCAACACTGAACGCTCCCCCGGAAACACCTGTTTCTCCTCTGTAACCAGCACAGTTAACCTGGGAGTGGGTTTTATCGTACAGAACTGGGAAAAGGAAAACACCCTGGAACCAGGCTTGCCTGCCTGCCTGTGTCGTCAGACTATCCTCATGCCAGCTGCTTAAGGACGTCCTCCTCAGGAGGTACGGCTGCCCCAATCTCCTGCCTGGAGTGATGCCCCACGCCCTGCCCCAGTGCTGGCCAGCAAGGAGGCCCACCTGATTCCCACCAGCTCAAAGCAGTTCTCCTCGAAGTGTTTGGAGCAGAAGTAGATGTACTCAGAGGCCGGGTCCCACAGGCCCTGGCCGCTGGGGTCCAGCCGTTGACAATTGGCCAGCCACAAGCCGCGCCTCGGGTTGTCCTTCTTGGGAAGTCTGCAGAGCCACAAACTCGTGAGCACCAGGCTGCCCACGGCCCTGGGCTCATGCTGCCCAAGCTCCCTAAGCAAGAAGAGCCAGGCCGGCGCACTCCTGAAGGAGACCTCCTTGCGACCCTGCCTGCTGTGCACCCCTCGGCCCGGCGGAGGAAGAATCTTAGGGAAGGCAGCTTGCTCAGCGTTACGGAGCCGATAAGAATCTGAGAGCAACAACTCTAAGCCTGGTAGGCGTCCGGTCCTCCTTTCTGGACAGGATTTAGTCCCATAGGGACCGTCCCGTTCACCCTCCCAATCTCAAATCCGAGGCTAGTTTGAAACTGACAACCACAGGCAGCACAGGGAAAGGCGCGGCCTAAAGCGGCGGGCAACACTGGCGCATGCGCAAGGGAGCCCTCGCGTCCCAGCACGCACGCGCGCTGACCTGTGGAAGGAAATGCCACGGTTGCGCGTCTCCCGCGTATCTCGCGTGCAGCAGCCGGCGGCGGAGCAGTGACGCGGCATCTAGGGAAGGAGCGGGAGTGTAGGTCGCGGGCAGCTGTCCTGGCCCAGAGTGGCCTCTTGCCCTCGGCCGCTACTCCGTTCTGGAGACCTTGGCCCATAGGATCGCCCGTGACCTGATCTCGACCCAACCCCCTCCCAGCCCGTTCTCTTAACTCCCTCCAGCAGCACTCACGGTATCGCCATTGCTGCGCCGCTGAAATCTCGCGAGGGGTGGAGTGTGGCGGAAGTTGATACTATAGAGACGGCAGCCTGGGGCGCTAGCCCAGGCGTTGGGGAGGGAAGAGAGCCTCCCTGCTGGCACCGGAAGCCGTAGGGGCGTAGTTCCTCGCTGTCTAGGCAGCACTCTGGAGTTTCCGGCCGTGGCTATGTGCGTCCCTTCACTTTCCAAATCTAAGTTGTCTAAACTCATTCTAACTAAATGCTCCAGGACGCTTGCAGCAGCCTCAATGGGATGTGCTGGGCCATGACGGTGCCCCTGGAGTCTCTCAAATCGACACCCGGCTCCGGGAGGGCCCTCTTTTGTGTTTCATCATGAACAACTTCCTATGGCTGTACAAGCTTCAGTAAAGGATGATGCATCCCGGGTGGCCATCTATTTGGCACAAGCCCGCCATACATAATTCCCTCTCCGTGGAGCATCCAGAGGCGGGTAAGGACAGGGCATCCTTTCTACCAACCTAAGAAAGGCAAGAGGGACATAAGCCCTCTTTGCTGATGACGGGTAAGGAGAAAGGACATCCCTGCCACCTAAGACAGGAGCTCCTTGGCATATGTCTGGCGCCCTCTGCAAGGGCTCACTGACATAAGAAAAACGGGGCAATTATGGAGAGCATCGTAAAGGAACTCGACATGAGTGCAGCCATATTGACCCGTGATTCACCCGAGCAGTGTGGACGTGCCGTCGCTTTAGCAACGGGCTAGTTCAGCTGGTGGTCTGATCTATTGCCTAGCAGATGTAACCCGTAATGGTGGTTATTGTTTCCCTCTGGAATGTGTGGGCGGTACTCTCGCTCCTGTGCAGCCCTCGCTCCTGTGCAGCTGGAGAGTATGAAAGGAAAAGGTTCCCTAACAAAAAAATAAAGCAAGCAAGGAACTTGAGAAGGAAGGTGCCTCCCGTCTCTTTGTCCTCATCCTTTCAGGTTTAGGACCTGCTGGCAGGATCCTGACGTCGCGGCTTGCGACAGGGTCTCACTGTGTAGTTCAGGCTGCCATGAATTACGGAACCCTGGCTGACCACCTCAGTGCTGGGAATATAGGTGTGTGTGCCACCAAGCTCAGAGTTAAACTATATTTTGATCCTACCTTGTACATCTTTTCCTCATTCCTTGAGCCAATCTTTTACAAGTCTGAGAGTAGTAAGGTAACTAAAGATACAAACATGCTTAATAATTTAGAATAATTTCTTTTTAAGGGCCTGTGAACCAAGCTACACCCTAGCCCTTCCTGAGACAGGGTTGTGCTAAGTCACTACACTGCAGCAGCTGGGCTTGACCTTGTGATCCTCCTACCTCACCCTCCCAGAATGGAGGAATCACGGGCACGTGCCACCAATCCCATCTAAATGGCTGTTTTCGCTTCTAGACAGCCACTTGGAAAAGGCTGGTACCTAAATAGGGGAATTGTGTCACAGTACAGCGCACAGTACAAACAATGAATGACTCAATACAGGAATTTTAATAGGTAGATACATACTGTAATGATATAGTGTATATGGGCAACAAATAAAGGAAGAGTTTCCAGCTGCTCAGTCCTCCTCAGTATTCTTCCCCTTCCTCGGCCTCTGCTTCCACGGAATCCACGCCCACCTCTTCATAATCCTTCTCCAGCGCTGCCAGGTCCTCCCGGGCCTCAGAGAACTCCCCTTCCTCCATGCCTTCTCCCACGTACCAGTGCACAAAGGCCCGCTTGGCATACATGAGATCGAACTTGTGGTCCAGGCGGGCCCAGGCCTCAGCAATGGCAGTGGTGTTGCTCAGCATGCACACGGCCCTCTGCACCTTGGCCAGGTCTCCCCCGGGGACCACAGTGGGGGGCTGGTAGTTAATGCCCACCTGCCAGAGGAAAAGATACAGTGAACATTATAACCTCCTCAGAAGGGACAAGTTCATTAGCCAGGCCTACTGGCACATGCCTGTATTCCCAGCACTCAGGAGGCTGAGGCTGAGGCAGGAGGATTGCTGAGAGCTTGAAGCCATCATGAGCTACACAGAGAGTTCAAGGCTAGCCTGAACTGCATACAGACCTTGTCTCAGAAAAGGAATGACAAGATAGATAAAAATTGGAGAGAGGGTGGGAGAGATGGATGGGACAAAATAAAATTTACTTAAAACTGGAGCTGTGGACCCAGATCTAGTGTAAGAAATACTCGATAAAAACTGTTACTGGGCCGGAGATTTAGCTTAGTGGTTCCTCCGCCTGCTTTGGAAGCCCAAGATCCCGACCCGAGTTTGATCCCCGATGCCAAAAAAAAAAGAAAAAAGAGAAGCCTGTATATAATATGTTCAAAATATGGTGTGTAACTGGCAAAAAGAAAAGTGAGTTGAATTTCGTGTTTTTGTGTACGACTCCTATTGTGACAGTCGACTGTGTCAATCTGAGTGAGCAACATCCGACTACATTGTAAAGGGTAGTTGTGGGAAGAAGGGACACCTACCATGTTTGGGTAACCCGAAGGGATTTAGCAAATTAATAACGACACATGCTTTCTTTGCACCACAGACAACATGCAGTGTCATTCTCCCCAAAGGATGTGGCCCCTCAGGGACAGCGTGAGTCTGCGGGGCTGCTGTTTGCTGACAGGCACAATGACTAGACTTCACCCGGTCCTACCTTAAAGCCAGTTGGACACCAGTCCACAAACTGGATGGTGCGCTTGGTCTTGATGGTGGCGATGGCAGCATTGACATCTTTTGGAACCACGTCGCCCCTGTACAACATGCAGCAGGCCATGTACTTGCCGTGGCGAGGATCACACTTGACCATCTGATTGGCTGGCTCGAAGCAGGCATTGGTGATCTCGGCCACTGACAGCTGCTCGTGGTAGGCCTTCTCGGCAGAGATGACGGGGGCGTAGGTGACCAGGGGGAAGTGGATGCGGGGGTAGGGCACCAGGTTGGTCTGGAACTCCGTCAAGTCCACATTCAGGGCCCCATCGAAGCGCAGCGAGGCCGTGATGGAGGACACGATCTGCCCGATCAGACGATTGAGGTTGGTGTAGGTGGGGCGCTCGATGTCCAGGTTGCGGCGGCAGATGTCATAGATGGCTTCGTTGTCCACCATGAAGGCACAGTCCGAGTGCTCCAGGGTCGTGTGCGTGGTCAGGATGGAGTTGTAGGGCTCCACGACGGCCGTGGACACCTGGGGGGCTGGGTAAATGGCAAATTCCAGCTTGGACTTCTTGCCGTAGTCCACTGAGAGCCGCTCCATGAGCAGAGACGCGAACCCAGAGCCGGTGCCGCCTCCAAAGCTGTGGAAGATGAGGAAGCCCTGCAGGCCGGTGCACAGATCTGCCTGTGAGAAACCAGACAATATCAGCCCAGGCCTGCGGAGGCCACATCGCCAACCCCAGCAGGCCAGGCTCGCTTCTCCGTGCCTCTGCAAGGTGATGTGGACTCAAAACATCCACAGTGAGCACGTGTCACATGTAGAAGCAAAGGAAGGCAAACAGGGAAGATCTGCGGGTGCTCTGCGACAGGGGCGACGCAGCAAGGCCTGTGCAGACTCCGTGGGGACTCCTCACGCTTGTCTAAGCTTTGCCAGCAGTCTGACCCCATCACAGCCTAAGGCAGGGACGGCGAACCTTTCAGAGCTGTCCATGATAAACGGCCGGCTGGGCTCTGGCAGGAGGCCCAACGTCCGCCACAACTCGCCTGAGGCCTACCCTCCCATCCGGAGCAACAGCCACACCACGCCATCTCGGTGATCTTACCAGTTTGCGGATCCGGTCCAGGACCAGGTCCACGATCTCCTTGCCAATGGTGTAATGGCCTCTGGCGTAATTATTGGCTGCATCTTCCTTCCCCGTGATCAGCTGCTCGGGGTGGAAGAGCTGCCTGTAGGTCCCCGTGCGCACCTCATCTACAAAGAGACCGTGTGAGCTGTGAGCCTTTCAGGGCTGCTGTACTCACCGTGATGGGCACACTCAGGGATGGTGCACATGCTGTTCCTGCCTCGACTGCTACCAACTGAGCTGCACGTGGTGCTGCACGCCTGTAAAACCAGCATTTGTGAGTGTGAGGCAAGAGGATCGTGCAGAGTTCAAGGCCAGCTCGAAAAGGTGAGACCCCCAACCTCCCCCAAGTCTCTGCAGAGCATAAATGCAACCGATGACTCCAAAAAGGTAACGTCAACTCACTATAAATGCCAGCGGGATCACTTCATGCTGATGGGAAGAAAGCTCTCACGGGCCCACACAGGGGCTTCTACAGGTGGCTAGCTCTTTCTTACCTGTAGCTACATCAAAGAAAATAATTTACAAGTCATGACCACACCCCTGTAATCCAAGTACTCTGGGCAGCTGAGACAGCAGGATCACAAGACAAACCCAGCCTGGGTGACATAGCGACTTAGCGAGACGCTGTCTCAAAAACTTTAAAAAGCAGGCTGGGGATTTAGATCAATGGAGCTGCCACCTGCCTCAAAAGCACAAGGTCCGGAGTTCGATTCCCAGTATCAAAAATAAATAAAATAAAATAAATAGAAAGCCGGGCATGGTGGCGCACGCCTTTATTCCCAGCACTGGGGAGGCTGAAGCAGGAGGATCACTGTGAGTTCGAGACCGGCCTGGGCTACACAGTGAGTTCCAGGTCAGTCTCAACTACACAGTGAGACCCTGTCTCAAACCCGCCCCCGCAAAAATAAAAAATAGAAAAATAAAAAAAATAAACAGGACTGGGAATGTAGCTCATTGAAAGCCCCTGGGTTCAACTGTCAGATTTGTAGCCAAACAAAAACTAAAACTCCCTTGCAATCACCAGGCGAGTGTGATTGTGTGATTGCGCTGGGACAGGCTCATCACCACCCAAATGCCTTGGGTCTCGCAGGCGGTAAGGTGGCATTCTGTTGCTCTTGGAGATAGTAAAGAAGTTCTCATCACTTTCCCCTCTCCCTCCTTCCTTCCTGCCTCCCTCATCCTCCTCTTCCTCCTCTCCTCCTTGTCACTGTCTTTCTGTTTCTTGTGTAGTACTGAATATAGGGTCTTCACACTGAGCTACACTGGCAGTGGGTTTTGTTTCTCTTGAGACAGGATTTCACTAAGTTGTTGGAAACCCCAAGATGGGGTCAAATTGCAGATCCTGCCTCCTATTTTCCATCTCTTGCAACTAGTTTGGGCTTCTCATCACGAACCAAACAAATATTCTCAGTTTCATGTCTAAGAGCAGGTCCAGACCGTCTTGCACCAGCCTGAGAATCTCCACAACGTTAAGGAGGGAACCAAGGCCTGTTCTCACTGCACACAGGGTCTGTGCAGAAACCACCAGACCAGGGCAGAGGCAGCCAGAGGGAATTCGCCGTAGCCCATCATGCTGCTGGCAAAGCAGCTTTTCCCTGTAGGGCAGGGTTTCTTATGATGGGAGGCTGAGCCCTGAGTCAAGAACCTTTGGTCATAAACCTTTCAGCTTCTCACCCAACAATGTCACGAGCATGGGCTTATGAATCCTGTCCTGGGCCGGGGATTTAACTCAGTGGTTCTACTGCCTGCCTGGCAAGCGCAAGAACCCAAGTTTGATCCCTGGTACAAAGAAAAAAAAAATCCTGTTCCGTACCGGGGATTGAGCTCAGTGGTTGCACCGCCTGCCTCGCAGGCACAAGGACCCAAGTCAAAATCCCCAGCACCAAAAATCAATCAATCAATCAATCAATCCTGTCCTTGCAGAGAGATTGAAGGGGCCCTCCACGTGGGTCTTTGCAAGGCTCTCCCATCCTCTCTGGAAAGTCTCCGTCCCCGACCCGAGCACCTACCTACCACCGTGGGCTCCAGGTCCACAAACACCGCTCTGGGCACGTGCTTGCCAGCCCCAGTCTCGCTGAAGAAAGTGTTGAACGAGTCGTCCCCACCGCCGATGGTTTTGTCACTAGGCATCTGGCCATCAGGCTGGATTCCATGTTCAAGGCAGTACAATTCCCAGCAGGCATTGCCGATCTGCACACCTGCCTGCCCCACGTGGATAGAGATACACTCCCTCTGGGAACCAGAAAATCCATGTGAAAACCATTTGTCCTCGGAGCAATACGTACTATGCAAAATGCAAATGAGACCTGATGTCATAAACCCACATTTGTAAAATATGCTTCACGAACCTCCAGTGATCACTGTGTGTCAGAACACCTGCCTAGCCACATGAATACAGACAGACTGGAACTAGGAACACAAATACAGTCATTCTTCTCCCCAGCAATTAAAATATTCACAAATTACCTCTGCCTATGTTCCTAGCACTCTGAGAGGCTGAGGAGGAGGACTGCAATTCTGAGCCTAGCCTGGAAAACGGTGAGACCGGATCCCAAAAGAATAAAGAAAAAAAGGGCTCTGTATGAAGACCCTGAGTTGAATAACCACTAGAGAAAAAAATATAAATCAAGCCGATTAGTTTCTTCCCAAGGATCAGATTAAAGAGTCTGTCCCCAGCAATGGCTTAGAAAATCAGACAAAACACAGACTGTGTGGCAGAGAGCACAAGACAGTGATTCCTCACACCTGGGAAACAAAGTAAATCAAGGATCACCCCAGATATCGCATGAGTTCCCAGGCTACCACAGAGGGAGAAGAAAGGCAAACACAGCCCCGAATTGAGAAGAGAGACTGGTGTTCAGGGAGGCCGATGTAGCTAGAAAACACAAGGCAGAGCGGGCAAGATGCCCAGCTCTGCACAAATCAGCAGAGTCCACCTGTGTCTACCTGAGGCCTACTCAGCACATGTGGTGTGGAAGAGAGCTGCTGAGACCAGGGAGGGGCAGGCTGGGCAGTCCTGGGAACGGCTCGTGTGTCCCCCAATCATGGCGGAAAGACCTCTTGACTCTCAGAACACTGAACGAGTCCTCAGTGGTGAGGCCGGATGAGTCTGCTCTGAACCCATGTAAGAAAGCAGAAAAGCAAGCTCCAAAGGGTCAAACTGGCTCCTGGGAAATCAATCACATGCCAACAAATGCCCCAAAATGTTTAAAGGAATGCTGCCAAATGTATAACCCAGTAAAGTAAATTCATAATGTCTGGCATCCAATCTGAACTTCTCAGGTACTAAATAAGAAGGGCCAGGGATTTAACTCAGTGGTGTTGCCACCTGCCTCACAAGCACAAGGTCCTGAGTCCTACCCTAGGTACTAAAAAGAAAGATAAAAAGAAAAAAGGAAAAGGAAAGAAAATATGACTGTAATGAAGAAATAAGGCCAACAATGAAAACTAACCCAGAAATGATATAGACAATGTAATGACTCAACTAGAACATGAACTATTATGTACCTATAGCTTCAGGATAGTAGGAAATATAAGTATGAGAGACATTTAATATAAAAAGACCTAAATAAAACTTTATCATTAAAAAAATACATTTTCTAGTGCTTTCTTCTCCAGTACATATACTGAAATTGGAACGATACACAGAAGATTAGCATGGCTCCTGTGCAAGGATGACACACAAATTCACGAAGTGTTCCATATTTCTGCCTTCTCTTTTTCCTAATCTTCAATGGCAGGAAACCTGAGGCTCTGATAAATAAATAAATAAATACATTTTCTAGAGAAAAATATAATGAATGGAATTAATAATATTTTGCACATTGACGAGGAAAAGAACTGAGGTTAATGAAAAATTCTGGAAATAGTGTCCCTGAATTACATAACTCAAAGTAAGCGAAAAATTTTATGTTACATTCATTTTAACTCTTTTGTCGGGCTGGGGAATGAATCCAGGACCTTGCACCCCCTAGACAAGTGTTCTACCACAGATGTACCACAGAGCTACATTTCTAGCACTTTTTAAAACATTTTTGAGACAGGTTTCTATAAGCTGTCCAAGCTGGCTTCCAACTTATGATTCCCCGCCTCAACCTGCTAGCTCAAAAACTAGGGTAGTTGTGATGGTGGCTGGCTAATCACAGCTATTCCGGAGGCTGAGTGTAAAAAGGGCTGTGAATGCAGCTCAGTGCAAAGGTACTAGGTTCATTCCTTAATACCACCACCAAAAAAAAAAAATTCAAAACTTACAATAGTAGAGGAAAATTTGCCTAGCATGCACAAGGTCCTGAGTTCCATTGCAGAATCACACACACACACACACACACACACAAAGTTTTTGAGGCACTTTATTGCATGTTTTACCAGTAAAAGAAGTCTTAAAACCAATTTTCACAGGGGGAAAATACTAAGGTTAGTCTGAGTTGTTACTGAGTCACATTTTATAAGTTTTAGCAGTTGCTGAACTTTATTCATTTCAGTTTCAAGAGGAAATTAAGGTTAAAATGACTGGCTGTTTACCTTAGTTAACTGAGTACAACTGAAATTTGAACTGGAGGCTGGATGTGGTGGCCTATGATTGCAACCCCAGAACTCTGGAAGGGTGAGGTATGAGGACTACAAGTGTAAGCCCTGCCTGCATAGCTCAGAGAGACCATGACTCAAAATGAACAATAAAAAATGTGGCCGGCTGTGATGCCACACATGTGTAATCCTAGCACTTGGGAAGCTGAGGCAAGAGGATCCTACAAGTTCAAGGTCAACCTGGGCTACATACTGTAGCTGAGTTCAAGGCCAGCATGAACTATATGTTGAGATTCTGTCTCAAAAACAACAAAAAACAAAAAACAAAAACAAAATAAATAAATAAATAAATGGCTTAGGGATGTAGATTAGTAAGAAGGTGCTGGGTTCAATCTTGCTACCAGAGAGTGAAGAGAGAAAGAGAGGAACTGGACCAAGTGAAGTCCTGTACAAGGGTCTTTCTGGCCTCTCTCCACATAAAACTGTACGCCACTTACAGTCGATATATGTAAAGACACAGGTGTTAGGTTGGTTCCACCAATATGCAGACTGTTAAAATATTGACTCAACAATTACTTAGAAGGCATATATGAGCTAGGGATATAAAAAAGGAACAAATTAAAGGCAAAAGCCTATCCTTCAGCAGGAAAACAAGAATTCCCATTTACTGGTGAGAGAAAGCAATCTAACAATATCTAGAAAATCACAGACACCCATTTCTAGAATCCTACACATACACCTAACACCAGCAAATAGGTCACTCACTGCTGGTTTCCATGTAAATGATTATAAACCACCCTAGTACCAGTTAAGCAAAAGAAAGGGTGAATAATGTACAGTAAGGCGCTGACACCCACTGGAATACAATGTGGTTGCAAACAATGTAGATTTCTCTAAATATAATGAGGTTACTAGACCTTTCTCATCTTTTTTTTTTTTTTTAACAAAGTCTCACTGGTCCCTAACTCCTGGGCCAAGCAACCTTCCAGCACCAGCGCCCTGAGCAGGTGGACTAGAGATGCTCACCAGGAAGCCCAGTAGGCTTTCTTTTTATTGTTTTATTATTATTATTATTAATTTATTTAGGTACTGTGGATCGAACTCGGGACCTTGCCCCTGCGAGGCAGGCAGCAGAACCGCTGAGCTAAATTCCCCAGCCCCTTGGCGTTCTTTTTTATAA